AAATAGCTATGTATGTCTTCATATTTTTACATATTGTCTTTCCCTTAGTGATACAATTGTTAGGTTATATTCTGCAATCTAAGTCCTTCATTGTCCTTCTAGCTTGTTGTCAGTCTGTGGAACCATTCTTGAACCTTTGTACCCATCTTGATTCTTCAAAATGGTTTTTAAATATATCTCTTTAATTATAAATAAGATTATTAATGAAATTTTTATGTGGTTTACCATTTAGATTTTGAGATATGAGATGTCTTCTCATATTCTTTGCCACTTTTTGTTATCTAGGATTTAGGAACATCACATATTCTATGTATTGTACATTTTATACATAGTCTCTACTAATCCTTAGCTGGGTAAGATTTGTTTATGATGCCTTTTTATTAGTTTTATGTTTCCTAATTCTTACTTCTTATTTAGAACATTCTTCTTTGCCAATTTATGTGCTTAGTCTCCTTTTGTCGTCTTGTTCTGGCTAGAACTTCAAGAACTATATTAAATAGATATGGGGAGAGGGGGCAGCCTTGTCTTGTCCCTGATTTTAGTGGGATTGCTTCAGCTGTCTCTCCATTTAATTTAATATTGACTGTTGGTTTGCTGAAAATTGCTTTTATTATGTTTAGGTATGGGCCTTGAATTCCTGATCTCTCTAAGACTTTTAACATGAAGGAGTGTTTTATTTTGTCACATGATTTTTCAGTATTTAAGGAGATGATCTTGTGATTTTTTCTTTGAGTTTGTTTATGTAGTGAATTACTCTAATGTTTTCTTGTATATTGAACCAACCCTGCATCCCTGGGATGACGCCCACTTGATCATGGAGAATGGTTTTGATGTGCTCTAGGATTCGGTTTGCAAGAATTTTATTGAATATCTTTGCATCGATATTCACAAGCAAAATTAGTCTAAAGTTCTCTTTTTTTGTTGGGTCCTTGTGTGGTTTAGGTATCAGAGTAATTGTGGGTTCATAGAACGAATTAGGTAGTGTTTCTTCTGTTTCTATTTTATGGAATAGTTTGAGGAATATTGGTATTAGCTTTTCTTTAAGGTCTGGTAGAATTCTGCACTAAAGCCATCTGGCCCTGGGCTTTTTTTGGTTGGGAGGTTTTTAATGACTTGTATTTCTTTAGGGGATGTGGGCCTGTTTAGATAGTTTACCTGCTCTTGATTTAACTTTGGTATGTGGTATCTGTCTAGAAAATCATCCATTTCCTCTAGATTTTCCAGTTTTGTTGAGTGTAGGCTTTTTTTTTTTTAATTGGATGATTTATTTACATTTCTTATGTTGTCCCCTTACCCCATCCCCCACCACCCCCTCGGAACCCCCAATCCCCTCACCCCTCCTCCTTCTTCTCTGTGGATGTAACCTCTATCTACCCCCCCCCCCGCCACTCCCACCTCCCCACCCTCAAAATTCCCACCCCCTGGGGCATCCAGCCTTCATGAGGTCAAGGTTCTCTTCTTCCACCTATGCCCAGCAGGGCCCTCCACTTTTACATATTCAGCTGAAGCCCTGGATCCCCCCCTAAGTGCTCCCAGGCTGGTGGTTTAGACCCTGGGAGCTGTGGTTGGTTGGTATTGTTGCTCTCCTCATGGTGCTGTAAATCCTTTCAGCTCCTTCAGTCTTCACTCTAACTCCTCTATTGAGAACCCCATGATCAGTTCAATGGCTAGTTGTGAGCATCTGCCTCTGAATATGTCTGACTCTTGAAGGCCTCTGAGGAGATATCCATATCAGGCTCTTATCAGCATGCACTTCCTGTCTTCCACATCAACATCTACCTTTGGTGATTGCACATGGGATAGATACTCAGGTGGAGTGGTCTTGAGACGGCCCCTCCTTCAGTTTCTGTCCCTCACTTTGTCTCCATATTTGCTCCCTTGAGTATTTTGTTGCTCCTTCTAAGAAGGACCGAATCACCCTCACTTGGTCTTCCTTCTTTATGGGCTTCATGTGGCCTGTGAGTTGCATCTTGGGCATTTCAAGGTTCTAGGCTAATATCCAATAATCAGTAAGTGAATACCATGTGTGTTCTTTTGTGATTGGCTTACCTCACTCAGGATGATAATTTCTAGTTCCATCCATTTACCTAGGAACCTCTCGAATTCATTGTTTTTAATAGCTGAGTAATACTCCATTGTGTAAATATACCACATTTTTTGAATCCATTCCTCAGTTGAAGGACATCTGGGTTCTTTCCAGCTCCTGGCTTGGATGGGAGTGTAGGCTTTTGTAGTAAGATCTGATGGATTTCCTCAGTTTCTGCTGTTATATCTCCCTTTTCATTTCTGATTTTGTTAATTTGGAGACTGTTTCTGGGCCCTTTAGTTAGTTTGGCTAGGGGTTTATCTATCTTGTTGATTCTCTCAAAGAGCCAACTTTTGGTTTTGTTGATTCTCTTTTTTTGTTTGTTTTTGTTTTTTCAAGACAGGGTTTCTCTGTGTAGTCCGGGCTGTCCTGGAACTCACTCTGTAGACCAGGCCAGCCTCAAACACAGAGATCTGCCTGCCTCTGCTTCCCAAGTGCTGGGATTAAAGGCATGAGCCACCACTGCCCGGCTTGTTGATTCTTTGTATAGTTCTTTTTGTTTCTATTTAGTTGGTTTCGGACCTGAGTTTCACTATTTCATGCCTTCTACTCCTCTTGGGTATGTTTGCTTCTTTTTGTTCTAGAGTTCTCAGGTATGCTATTAAGTTGCTAGTATAGGATCTCTCCAGTTTCTTTACCAATGCACTTAGTGCTATGATTTTTCCTCTTAGCACTGCTTTCATTGTGTACCATAAGTTTGGGTATGCTGTATCATCATTTTCATTGAATTTCAGGAAGTCTTTAATTTCTCTATTTCTTCCCTGACCAACTTATCATTGAGTAGAGAGCTGTTCAGTTTCCATGGGTATGTGGGTTTTCTGTCTGTGGCGAACTGATAGGATGCATTATTTCAATCTTCTTGTGTCTGTTGAGGCATGTTTTGTGACCAGTTATATGGTTAGTTTTTGGAGAAGATACTATGAGGTACTGAGAAGAAGGTATATCCTTTTGTTTTAAAGTAAACACTTGGGAAGTGGAAATAAGATGAACAGAGAATTCCAAGTGATACGTACAGAGCGAGTGAGGCTAGCCTGGGCTATATGAGATGCTGTCTTAAACAATGAAACAACAACAAAAGTTCAAAAGGTCCCCAGTGATCTCTTATCACCGTTACCCTTATTTAAACTCTGTTCATTGATTTCAACCCATCTTTTTTAAAGCTTTGTATCACATGGTTTAGTTTTTGTCTTAAATGCCCATGTCTTTGGATGTGGTCTAGAAGATGTCAGTCACAGTGAGTGATCAGAAGAGTAACAGAAAATACAGTAGAAGAGAGTGTTGTGTGCATTTGTATGGTAGTTCCAACTGTGGTCTGTGAAACAGTAGGTGTGACTGTAGTATCCAGTGAAGAAAATCTACTGGAAGAGTAACGGAAAGGGAAAGCACATGTTATTCGCAATACACTTCTTTTATCTATTCCCTTTCTAAAACGTAGTCCAGGCCAGCATGTGCTGAACTAATCAAACAATATAAAAAATATGTGGACAGTATATACTGTTCTGGCAAGTTTTCACTTTTGTCTTTTTTGGGGGGGGGTTGAAACTTTAATAAAAGTAAAGTTTTCACTTTTGGTTTGGGGTCTTTGTTGTTTGTTTTTTTTTTTTGTTTTGTTTTGTTTGAGATGGGGCTCACTGTGTAGCCCTGGCTGGCCATGTGGCTGTAGAGATCTGCCTGCCTCTGCCGCATGAGTACTGGGATTAATGGCGTGAGTCACCACCTCCCTCTTAGCTGGCATTTGTTGATGCACAAAAGTGTTCCCACGGTTTTTCAGTGAAGAACGTAATATGTGCCTAGAGAGAGAGAGCAACACTTAAGAGCAGTCCTCCTGCCTGCAGTCCATCCTCAGCACCCACACTGGGCAGCTCGTAACCACCTGTGACTCCAGCTCTAGGGAATTCAAACTCTCTTCTGTCCTCTGAGGTCACTGCACACCCACATGCACCAACTTTCCCATAGACACATACACATTCATAATTTTTTAAATCTTTCTTTTTATTTATTTTTTTACACTCGAGATTTTATTCCCTCCTCCCTACCCTGGTCTACCCTCCAGCTGTTCCACATCCCATACCTCCTCCCACCCCACCCCTGTCTTCACAAGGATATCCCCACACCTCACCCCTTTTTTAAAAAAAAAAGAATATAAGGTTAAATATGGTGGTATATACCTTTAATCCCAACACTAAGAAGGCAGAGGGAGATGCGTCTTTGTAAGTTTGAGGCTAACCTGGGCTACATATTGAGTTCCAGACCAGCCAGGGCTACACAATGAGAAGTTGTTTCAAAGGAGGAGGAGGAGGAAGAGGGGAAGGAGGAGGAGAAAGAAAAAAGAGATATGTGGTTTTCTAACAGTTTTATAGTTCTGAAACCTAGAAATAAAAAAAAACTATTTTAAAAATAATGGTGCTGGTTTGTAAAGAGGTGGTTACTGAACCAGCACCTGTAACTCAGACCTCTGGGAGTTACCCCTAGTATGACCTGTGGCTTGTATTTACTATCACAGTTTTCTCAAACCCTTACAAGATAAAGAAAGCTGTCTCTAGGTAGCATGGTAGCATAAGAATCCTTGCTTAAGAAATAACCCACTCTCTTCTCTGGTGAACTTGGGCATTCTTTAGCTTCACAAGTTCTTGTTTCATAGACCACTTCATTGTGAAGATGGTTACCCATGGTGAGTTAAATAAAAAAAAAAAAAACTATAGTATTTGACCTTTCTGTTCTTGTACCTCAGAAATCAATTGCTTCATTTTGGAAAACACACATACACATAGTGTGAGTGTGAGTGTGTGTGTGTTGTGTGTGTGTGTGTGTGTGTGTGTTTAACTGTACACAGTTAAATATGGAAACTTAGGATGAAGTTTCTTGGATATTAGATATTAATTTTATACTATTTGTGGGGGGTTTTTTCCCTTAGTTTCTGCCACTGCCTTTTACAAAGCACAACCTGTAATTCAGTTCATGTGTGAGGTTCTTGACATTCACAACATTGATGAGCAACCCAGACCCCTGACTGATTCTCATCGGGTAAAATTTACTAAGGAGATAAAAGGTGAGTTAATAATTAACATTTAGAAGATTGTACTTTCACGTACCATTTCTATAGTTTGTTACTAATTAGCATTTAAAACAGCTTCACTATAAAATGCATGGATAAGACAACTTTCTATTGAAGCATTTTTATAATTAGAATCATATTGTATTATATGACCAACAGACTATAGATTAATTATAAAATGTTACATCATATCCATTATTGTAGCTTCTTAGGTAGTAGTTGAGTGAAGAATATGCTAAGTAATCCAGCTATGTTTTTAGGAATACTGTTCCATACTGGCTAGAGAGAGGAAAGTGTCTCATGGGAAAATGTTTCTCTAATACTATCTTTTTAAAGTAAGAATCTTATCGTAAAGATATTGCTACTTTAGAATTTGACTCACTCTTTGAACATATTCTAATTAATGTTATTTTTCTAAAATTATAGTTTTTTAAAATCTTATTTCTTTGGAATTTTAGAAATTGGAGTTCACCAGTGTCCTGTGTTATTCTGGATTGTACTAAGCTATTTAATGTAAACTATAAAGGTGCCTGTCTTACTTAGCTACAGTTATTACAGTGGTGTTACATCATATGTTCATTAAGCTAAAAAGGTATTCTCTATGGCCCCCAAATTAAAATTACTTTGATAGTGTTCTGTATAGTCTGTGCATATTTGCTCCTTCGGTATATTTTAAAGTGCATTTACAGCTTTGTGTTAAAACTCACATAACTGGTTTATCAGCAATTTCAGGAATTTTTAAAAAGTAATTTAATTATATACAGTTCTTTCCTTATTTATGGCGTTAGTATCTAATCCTCACATAAGATGTAACTCCACTGTATTTCGTGTAGTATATAGACATGAAGGAAAACCAGATATTATCTAGTAAGGCGTAACAAACTTTGTTTATATTAAATGCTACAGCTTAAATAGACAGAAATAATTATGTTGTTGTTTAAGATTTTACCTATTTGTTGCAGATAATTTTCAGCTTGTGGTTTGAATGAAGCATTCGAGCTTGTTCACTGAACATCTTTCAGTCCCCAAACCAATTAGAGTAGGTGACTACATTCTGCTTGTTCCAGTTATCATTCATTCTGTGCCATTCAGTAACAACAAAAAAGAGATAGTCATTGTAATAAAACATGAAAAGGAAAGCTCTTCCTGTTTTGTCAATAAGCATCCATCTATCTCGAGTTATTAAGTGCCAAAATAAGAAACTGTTAAAGATGACTGTTTGCAACCATATCATTGTCCTTTCATAATCTGTTCTAACTGCAGTTAGCATCGTCAGGTTAGTGCATTACCTCCCATTATATATGTGATCATCTCAATGCCATGGTTTCTAGCCGAGTTGCTGCTTAGTTACCACCTCTGATATCATGCAGTCACGTACATTACTTTGCGGTAACTATGCAATCAACTCTATCACCACTCTATCACAGAAAATACAAGATGTACAGAACAAGGATTCAGCTGCTGCCCGGAGAGCATGGACTCGGTCTTAACTTCAACTGCTCAGGGGCCCAAAGAAATGACTGAAAAGTTGACTAGAAAGCATTATAAAGTTGATGTTATAGTGAAGGTAAAGCCAAGTTTATAGGTTAAATATTTGTTAAAGCCAAACTTTTTGGCTGGATGGAGGGTTTGGGGAGGGACCTGGGCAGAGAATTACCTATTCCATTCTTTATCATCTTGACTTTTTGCTAGCCCCTGGATTTGATCTAATTGTTAGCCATGATCTATGATCTTACATTTGGGGTAGAAAGTCTGGGTTGTATCTAATTAATAAACCAGGTTTTTTTCCCCTCCATTCTGAGTCAAGAAGACTATTTTATTTTATTTTATTTTATTTTATTTTATTTTATTTTATTTTATTTTATTTTAAAGAGGACTTTTTTGAACAAAGACTTTTTAAAGTACACCATGTATCCTACCACAGGAACTAAAAAAATTAGAGTTTTCTGTTCAGTGATGTTTGGGTTTAAGTTTTAACTTATGTCAGGAATTTGATGATAGCTGCTAAAAACTGCTACAAATTATGTCCTCATGAATATAAATGTTAGTGTATTGATTGTAATCTAGTTAAACTTGCCTCTCCAACTAGTTAGTAATGACTTTGGAGTGGCTTTTTTTTTAATCAACCAATAATTCATGGTACTTTCACAGCAGAAATATTGGGGAAAAGTATGATAACTTTATGTATAAAAAACCACTAATTTACTTTTAGTTAATATTTATTTTATAAGCATTAGAATTTGATATTTTTAAAAACTATACTTTTTTAAATCATGAGGAAGACTTGAAAATAAATAGTTAAATGTTTCAAACAACAGAAACTTATTTTTTCCCTAAACATAATATTTTTATGTTCCTTACTTCATAGTATTGCTTTTTCTCTCTTATAAGGCCTTCCATTGTATTTTCTGGCCTCCTTTATAATGTAATGACATAATAAATATTTGAAATTTAATTTTAGAAATATAGTCATAATAAAAATTACTTCTCAATGGTGTAAGTTTTATTAAGAATACTTTTAAAGAAAAAGCATTTACTATCTTAATTTGTGCTGATATGTCAAAAGAAAATATTATTTACTATGAGTGAACTTTGTGATTGGTACTACAGTTAATAATTAGGTAAGAAAACAAATTATACTGTGGAAGAATTTCTCTTGACATTTTATACTGAGTAATTCTTTGCTCAGTTGGTAGGTACAATTCTGTATGTTCTAGAATATTTGGAAGTATTCAACCTCTACTCACTAGCTGCCAGTGATATCACCCAGTTGTAGCAGTCACAGAATTCTTCTTGGGGACTGGGAGTGTTAACTTAGTAAAGCACTTGCCTAATGTGTGCCAAGGCCCTGGTTTTGCTCACAGCATCACACACACACACACACACACACGCACACACACACACACACACACACACACACATACACACACCTGTAATGTTCCAGGGTGAGGGGCAGGCAAAATCACATCCAAATTACTGCACTATAGGAATTATAAATATAAAATTAAAATTACTTAAAGTATAATAACCATTATTTTGTTCAGAAACTAAAACTTCATTTGTACCCTTCTAGACTCACTCTTCGAAGCCTAGACCAATGGAAATGGGTCTGTTTTTCTGTGAAGAATAGCTATTATATGTCCATTTCTTAACTCTTGGGTTACTATTTTGGCCAATATGGCAGCCAGGAGCTTTTGTATCTATTTCATTTAATTAAAATTAAACTTTAATGTGTTATTAATGATTGCCATATTAGCACAAGCGTAAAACATCATCTCAGGAGATTCTGTTTCTCATTAGTACTTAAGAAAATTCCTGCTGGGCATAGTAGTGCATGCCTTTAATCCCAGCACTAGAAAGGCAGATGTGGGGAGAGCTCTGTGAGTTCAAGGGCAGCCTGGTCTATAAAACAAACTCCAGTCAGGACTACATAGAGAGGCCTGTCTCTTCCTTAAAACAAACAAACAAACAAACAAACAAACAAAACACCTTTCCTGTTTTCTTGATATGCCAGTCATGGAGCAACTCCTCTGTAATCCCAGAAAGCTAAGGAAGGAAAATAAATTCAAGGATACTTTGAGCAACTCAGCAAGACCCTGTCTTGAAACAAAGTGAAAAGGATGGGGTTAGAGCTCAGTAGTAGGACATGTGCCTGTGTGCACACGGCCCTGGGTACCTCCAAAGCAGGGGTTTTCTTCAGCTGAGGAGCCAGAGCCCATTGCTTTACTTTCTAGAATAACCTGGAATCCTTGAGTCACTAAAGTTCATAAATCCACTACAGTGATCTAGAAATATTTAAAATTACTTGCTACATTATACACACACTTATTATGTATGTATTTTTCTGAGAGTTTATTGCTCTTATCAGATTCTCAAAGGGGTCAATGACGTCACAAGAAAGTAGAGATCACCTTCTTTAAGAATTATTTGAAGGAGCCAGAGAGTGTTGGCCCATACCTTAAATCCCAGCACTCAGGAGGCAAAGACAGATGGGTCTTTGTGAGTTCAAGGCCAACCTGATCTACATACCAAGTTCCAGTACAGCCAGAGCTACCTAGAGAGACCCTGTCTCAGAAAAATAAAAGTTATTTGGAAGGTTGACAAGACGGCACAATGAACAAATTCACTTGCCCCCAAGCTTGGGAACCTGAGTTTGCTCTCCAGAACCCTCGTGGTGGAAGAAAAGAACCAGTTTCTTTAAATTGTCTTTCCACCTCTACATTCATGTGTGCATGAGTACATACACAAAATAATTTTTTTAAATTAAGAACTATTTATTTTCCATTCTAATAGTCACTATTTTTGAGAAAAAAATTAATAAATTTAGAAAAATACTTAATAAAATTGTCACTCTGGTTCTGACAAAAGGACCAGATTTTTTTTTCCTGCCTGCTTCATAAGTCTTAGAAGGACTTCCTTCTTCAACTTTCTGAAACCCTGCTCTCCAGTCACTATGTGATGAAAGGCTATTCAAATACCTATGCTTTCATTCCTGAGTCTCCAAATTCCCGAGTTTATTGCAAATACATTTTTTTTTTCCTAGTGGAGAACTTTGTCCCTTGATCTTTGGACTTAGCAAATTACAGGATTTTCTTTCTTAACAATTAGAGCTTGATAGGTTAAAAAAAAATTTGGTAATTAGGTCTGTCATTATTATGGTTATTGGTAATGTCACGTAAAAGTTTCTGATATCACATTGCTTGTGTCACATTGAGCAGACTTTGTGCCTGCTCAGAATAGAGGTTTTATAGTAGTGAACAGACTGGGTAAGTATTTTTCATGGAACTTCTGTAACCTTCATTTTTCTTGTTGGGAACAGGTCTGAAGGTTGAAGTGACTCACTGTGGGACAATGAGGCGGAAATACCGTGTTTGTAACGTAACGAGAAGGCCTGCCAGCCACCAAACGTAAGGAGAGCGGCTGCTCGCCACAGCAGTGCCAGGAGGCAGCGTGCTCTGAGTAAGGGCTGGGGACTGGCCAGCTCAGGATGGGACAAGAGTTGTTCATGTCATCTCTTCTTTTTTCCAGCTTTCCTTTACAGCTAGAAAATGGCCAAACTGTGGAGAGAACTGTAGCTCAGTATTTCAGAGAGAAGTACACACTTCAGCTGAAGTACCCACACCTTCCCTGTCTGCAAGTGGGGCAGGAGCAGAAGCATACATACCTGCCACTAGAAGTAATGTCTTTACACTGCTTACGCTTAGCTTCTGTTCATCGTTCTATATGTGTGTGCAAGTGTGAATGTGCTTGCATGTGTGTGTATGTGCACATGTGTGTGCATGTTTGTATAGGCCAAAGGATGACATCAAGACTCTTTCGATATTGCTATCCCTCTGTTTTTTTGAGATGAGGTCTCTCATTGAACCTGAACTCCAGCTGGACTTGTTTCTCCACCTTCCTTTCCCCTCCCTCTTCTCCAGCACTGGGGTTCTAGGCATATACCACCATGCTAGTCTTGTACAATGCTAGGGATCTGAAGTCGGATCCTTATGCAGCAAGCTCTTAACCCTCAGGGCATCTCCCTGGCATTATTATTCTTGTAGGGGCTTTTATGACCTATGATTTATCTGAGTCCTACATGTATTTTGGAATTAGAACAATTTTTAAATTCTACTTTTTTTTCTAAAATTTCATTAAATAAAACAAATAGTATGTTTCTTGGTCAGAGTGCCATAGAGCAACTCGGAGAAAAGGGTTCATTCAGCTTACATGAACTCCTCACTGTTCCTCATCAAAGGAAGTCAGGACAGGAACTCAATCAGGCCGGGAACCTGGAGGCAAGAGCTGATGCAGAGACCATAGAGGGGTGCTCCTTTCTGGCTTTCTCCCCATGGCTTGCTCAGCCTGCTTTCTTAGAACCTAGGACCACCAGCATAGGAATGGCACCATTCAAAATGGGCTGGCCCTTCTCCATCAATCACTCATTAAGAAAATGCCCTGCAACAGGATCTTTTGGAGGAATTTTCTTTATTGAGGTTCCCTTACCTGAGATGACAATAGCTTGTGTCAAACTGACATAAACCTAGCCAACATGGTAGGAAAAAAGTTCACCCATACATCTACCACTGGTTAGCATTTTTTCTACGTTTCTTTCTGTCTTTAGCCTGTATACCTTTTACCTATCTATAATTATGTGATCATGTGTAATTTGTTCTCTGCTTTTTTACTTTAACATACAGTAAAAAAGTTATTTATAAAGTAGACTTTAAAATTATATTTAACATGTAATTGGCATTAAGCAAGTGAGTTCTAACAAAAATATATACATTGTATAAATTATTCTGTTTCTAGGTCTGTAATATTGTGGCTGGGCAAAGGTGTATCAAGAAACTAACAGACAATCAGACTTCTACTATGATTAAGGCAACAGCAAGATCTGCTCCAGATAGACAAGAGGAAATTAGCAGATTGGTTAGTACAAAACTCTAAAATGGCATTTAAAGTGAATTAGGGTAAGCCACTCAAGATGGGGCAGTGGGGCAGGATTGTGGGAGGGGAGGGCTGGGAGGGGGGCAGTGATCAGGATGTAAAGTGAATAAGTTTAAAAAAAAAAAAAGGCAAAAGATTTATATAATCTGAAGAGAAACCACAGATTGGTCCATGGCTCCAGCAACACATGTAGCAGAGGATTGCCTTATCTGGCATCAATGGGGGGAGAGGCCTTGGTCCTGTAGAGGCTTCTTGTCCCAGCGTAGGTGGATGCTAGAAGGGTGAGGTGGGAGAGGGTGGGTGGGTGGGATAGCACCCTCTTAGAGGCAGAGGAAAGGGGGGATGGGATAGAGAGTTTGCAGAGGGGAGACCGGGAAGGGAAACAATATTTAAAATGTAAATAAATAAAATAACCAATAGAAAGAAAGAAAGAAAGAAAGAAAGAAAGAAAGAAAGAAAGAAAGAAAGAAAGAAAGGAGGAAGGAAGGAAGGAAGGAAACCATGTCCTTACCAGCTGATGCTGCATTACCGTTTTATAAACTGTCAGTTAAAAGAGATCATGGAACCAGGGTATAGTGGCTCACACCTTTAATCCCAACACTTGGGAAGCAAATTTCTGAGTTCAAGGCCATCCTGGTCTACAGCATAAGTTGCAGGACAGCCAGGGCTACACAGAGAAACCTGTCTTGAAAAACCAATAAAAGAAAAAAAAAAGCCGGGCGGTGGTGTTGCACACCTTTAATCCCAGCACTTGGGAGGCAGAGGCAGGTGGATTTCTGAGTTCAAGGCCAGCCTGGTCTACAGAGTGAGTTCCAGGACCTAACATCTATATTTAGTTCTGAGTAAGATTATCAAGCTGTTCATAGACATCCTCCAGTCCCTGACTCACAGTCTGCAGGATAATATTCTCTGCCTTATAGTCAGGGCACTGTTGATTATACTTATTACAAAACATACAGTTGGCATAGAGGAAGAAAAGCAGAGATTCTAGCAAGTATAGTAAGAGGTTGAGGGAAAGTCTGAGAATAATGACAATTCCTTTCCATTGTTAGGTAAGAAGTGCAAATTATGAAACAGATCCGTTCGTCCAGGAGTTTCAGTTTAAAGTGCGGGATGAAATGGCCCACGTGACCGGACGCGTCCTTCCAGCACCTATGCTCCAGTACGGAGGACGGGTAAAGCCTATCAGTAATGTTCTAGTCATACACATATCATATGCTGAGTGTGGGGCTGGAGAGCTGGCTCAGCGGTTAAGAGCACTGACTGCTCTTCCAGAGGTCCTGAGTTTTATTCCCAGCACCCACATGGTGGCTCACAACCGTCTGTAATGAGATCCAATCCTTTCTTCTGGCATGCAGGTGTACTTGCATCAGAGCACTCATGCATAACATAAATAAATGATTTGCTAAGTAAGGAGAGAATGGTACTTTAAGTCTTGAACTTACTATTTTGTTTTTCCAACAATACATTGGGTGTTTTGTTTGTTTCAAGGTGAATTTTTTTAGTTGAGTTTAGCATAATTTTTTTTACATTTATTTATGTATTTATTGTGGGGGTTCACATGTGGAAGTCAAAGAGTAACTTGAGGGAGTTGGGTTCTCTCCTTCCACTGTAGTTCTTGGGTGTGGAGAGGTATCAAACTCAAGTCAGCATGCAAGGAGACAAGAACTGCTTGTAAAGTAAAGACGTACTGAGCCATCTTGCTGGCCTCTTCCTGGACTCTGGTTTTAACAGTATAAGTAATATTGATTTAGAACAGTCAACTCCGCATAGAGTACTAAAGATTTATCAGTTCAGAAACTTGAAGTACTTACTTGAGCTCACCTGAAATGCGTTGTTTGAGAAAATTTTTGTTTTTCTGCCATGTCATTTCTCTTCCAGAACCGGACAGTAGCAACACCCAGCCATGGAGTTTGGGACATGCGAGGAAAACAGTTCCACACAGGAGTCGAAATCAAAATGTGGGCTATTGCTTGCTTTGCTACACAGAGGCAGTGCAGAGAAGAAATACTGAAGTAAGGTGTTTCGTTGATTTGGTCTGGGGATCTTTTGTGTTTGAAATTATAAAAAATATTATTTTTATTTATGTCACTAGGGGTGAACCCAGGACCCTGTACATCCAATAGGCTGCATCTCTGAACTATACCCCAGCCCTGTTTTTCAGTTTTAAATGATTCATCTCATGTTCTAAAAAGTGTTGCCTCTGTATGGAATATATTTAACCAGTGAACCTTTAAAACTATTTCATCCATCCAGCTGGGATCACCTATGATTCCAGTTACATGGGAGGCTGAAGCAGGAAACTCATAAATTAACAAGACTCAGTCTCAACAATAATGTATGTGTGTCCATGTGTGCCCACACATTTGGAGGTGTGTGTGGATGTGCATGTTTCTGCATGTACAGGCCAGAAGTCAGCTAAAGTTCTCAGGCATTATCCACCAAGGTCTCTCATTAGCTCAGAACCCACTGAATTATTTAAGTGAAAAGACAAAGGTTGTCAGCTTAATAAGGAAAGAAAAAATTGCATGCTGAAGTTTCAGCGATGTACATTAAAAATGAATATTTTATTCTGAAATTATAAAGGTGAGTGTTGTGATGCACACCTTTAATCCCAGCACTCAGGAGGCAGAGGCCAGGGGATCACTGAGTTCAAGACCAGCCTGGTTTACAGAGTGAGATCTAGGACAGCCAGGGCTACACAGAGAAACTCTGAAAAAAAAAAAAAGGAAAAAAAAAAGAAAGGAAGGAAGGAAAAAAGGAAAGAAGGAAGGAAGGAAGGAAACAAATTTGTATAAATTTACTTGTTATACCTGGGACTTCAAAAAATATAGCCATTTGTTGAGATCATAAGGCATTAAATTATAGGGTCTAGTACCATCCACACCTTTAAACATCCAATGGGAGTCTTGTATGTAAATATATATGTATACATGTATGGCTATGTTTGTATGCAGATAGGTTGAGGCCAGAGTTGATTTTTAGGGATCTTCCTCAATCACCTTCCACTTTATTTTTTGAGACAGGGCATCTTACTGAATCTGGAATTCACTAATTAGATTGGATTCATTAGTTAGATTGGCTGGCCAGCAAACCCCAGGGATCCAGTCTCCACCTCTCAGTGCTAACAACATAGATATACATAGCAAATCTTTTACCACCTGAGCCATCTCCCCAGCACCACTGGGGAGTCTTTAACATATCCACAAAGGACAAAGGAGGCTACTATAGGTTACTGGTACCATCTGTTGCCTTTAGCTTTAGTAATCTGATGACCTTTTCTATATTGAGCAAACACACAGATCTTTGCTTCATCTGCTATTTCTTTCTCTTCTTCCTCCTCCTCCTCCTCCTCTTCCTCTTTCTCTTCCTCTTCTTTCCTCCTTTTCCTCCTTCTTTTTCCTTAATGATTTTTTTTTTGAGACAGGGTTTCTCTGTGTAGCCCTGGCTATCCTGGAACTCAGTCTGTAAACTAGGTTGTCCTTAAACTCAGAGATCCACCTGCCTCTGCCTCCAGAGTGCTGGGATTAAAGGCGTGCTCCATCACCACCCAGCTTCCTTCTTAAACTTTTCATGGGGTTGGGGATTTAGCTCACTGGTAGAGCACTTACCTAGCAAGTACAAGGCCCTGGGTTTGGTTCTCAGCGCTGGGAAAAACAAAAACAAAAACCACTCCTTTTTATTGCTGTTTGATAGGCTTGGAGCTGGAGATATAGTTCAGTGTAGAGTACTTGCTCAACATGCACAGACCGTGGGTTTCATCCTTAATACTATACACACACAAAAGATGAAGTATTTAGTACATTTTGATATCTAGACAAAGCTTTTCTCTTTTCTGGTTTCACCTTCAGAGGTTTCACAGACCAGCTGCGAAAGATTTCCAAGGATGCAGGGATGCCCATCCAGGGTCAGCCATGCTTCTGCAAATACGCACAGGGGGCAGACAGCGTGGAGCCCATGTTCCGGCATCTCAAGAACACCTACTCAGGACTGCAGCTCATTATCGTCATCCTACCCGGGAAGACACCAGTGTACGGTAAGGATATTTTAAAAGCACATTTCTCAAGAGTGAGAGTTTAGCTTACTGCTAGAGCACTGGCCTAAGATGTACACAAATCTGGATCTGATCTCCAACACTCCAACAACAGAAATACTGCATATTTTTCCTTCTCCTGTTTAACATGTTTTTAAAATTAGATAACCTAAAATTTTCAAATAATAAAATATATTTATGCCATAGCATTTTAAATCATGTGTTAGCTGGGCAGTGGTGGTACATGCCTTTAATCCCAGGTCTTGGGATTCAGAGGCAGGAAGATCTCTTGGGTTCCAGGCTAGCCTGGTCTACAGAGTAAGTTCCAGGACAGTAAAGACTACACAAAGAAACCCTGTCAAAACAAACAAACAAACAAAAAACAGAAAAACAACATCAACCAAAAAACCCCACATAGTATTACTTTAAAGCAAAGCCTATAAGCTAAATAGCAAAAAGGAGACTCTGAGAAATGACTTTTAGTACCTAAAAGAGACATCCCAAGCAGTGCTTCAGAGAAGAATCATATAATGAAATGACATCAGAAAAACTTTCCTAGCAGGACGAGGTAGTAGGTTACAACACAGATTGTGGAGATACACTGTTGCTCAGTGCTCAGATACTGGAGTTATACTGCCTGTGTGGTGTGACTCAGTTACATAGCTGTACAAAGCTTCACTTTCTTCACCTGTGGAGCTGGGGTACTTTAATACCTAACCCTATATGGTGGTATACAAAGTAAAGTTTTGTGAGATTAATAAAAGAAATCTAATACCTTGAGTCATGAAAAAATATTTAGGAAAATAATAACTTACAAACCATTGAATGTAGTAAAATAATTTCACATTAGACATGACAGAAGTGAAGGTAGGGAGATAGTTCAATTAGTGTAAAGTGCTTGTCTGATTTTGATCCCCAAGAGCCCATATAAAAATCAGGCTCTGCAGCATGCACCTATAGTTCCTGCACTGGAGAGACACAGAGGGCATTTCTGGACTTGCTGGCCAGTCTACGGAGTTCCCCTATGTCATCTGCACTTTGCACAGACTAAACTTTCTCCTTAATGTGTTCCATTTACTGAACCAAAAGCATTCATACTGTCAACATTATTCATTATTAATGCACTGCCCACGGTTTACATTAACGTCCACTCTTCATGTTGAACAGCGTAGGTCTGGCAGGTATGTATCTACTAGTGCAGCACCGTACAGAGGAGTTTCCTGTTGTTAAATTCCTCTGCTCATCACCCCTCCCTCCCTCAGTCCTTGAAGCCACTGATTGTTTTACTATTGCTATAGTTTTGCTTTTTCTAGATTGTCACAAAGTGAGATTATTTTACATATAATCTTTCTTTCTTCTTTTCATTTTTTGTTTGGTTCGTTTGGTTTGTTTTTCGAGACAAGGTTTTCTCTTTACAACCTTGGCTGTCTTGGAACTTGCTCTGTAGACCAGGCTGGCCTCAAACTCACAGATCCTCTTGTCTCTGCCTCCCATGTACTAGGATTAAAGGCGTGGCCCAGCCCTGCCAGCCCAGCTATGCTGCTGAGGTATACTGCTGCCTGCCTGCTACGTAGTCTTTCTAATAGGCTTCTTTTGCTTAGCAATGTACATTCAAGGTTCCTCCACATTTTCTCTAAGAACTGATAAGTCACTTATTTCTTGAATTAATATTTCCTGATATTGGCTGGGCGGTGGTGGCACACGCCTTTAATCCCAGCACTTGGGAGGCAGATGGATTTCTGAGTTTGAGGCCAGCCTGGTCTACAGAGTGAGTTCCAGGACAGCCAGAACTACACAGAGAAACCCTGTCTCAAAAAACCAAAAAAAAAAAAAGAGAGAGAGAGAAAAAGAAAGAAAAAAAGAAAAAAGAAAAAATTCCTGATATTATACTATTGTTTATTTGCAAATTCAAAGATGCCTTGCTTGTTTCTAGACCAATAGGAAAGAATACAAAAACAAGAATGGAAATGTCCCTAGTATAAGTCTGATGACTTCATTATATGTATCTAGAGCCTCTGAGCAGAATGTAACCTTCTGGTTGTTTAAGTAATTCCAAGGTCTGTAACCAAAAGGAGAAGGTGACAAAAAGCCCATGTCAGAAATCAGCAAAAGTTCTAGGTTCTGCTTCAACAGTGATACCCCACCTCCACACCGTCAGAGAAGTTCTTGCAGTGTTTCTTTCCTTGTAATCTCCCTTTATTATCAGGTCCCACTGGGACTCCATTCACTCTCTTCCTTCTACCTGTGTTGCTTGTCATACTCCACTTCCCATGTTTCACCAAGAGGAAATGCAAAATCTTCACTTGAAGTTTAACAAAAGCTTTATCTCACCTCCCTGACAAAAATCAAATTTTTTCTTAGTAACTTATATAGAACCTTATTACTCTCTTTAATGTTGCTTTCACGTTTGTATTGTTCAATTTGAGCCTTTTATCAATTAGACAGTAAACAGAGGCAGGAGCAATAACTGTTGACTCAAATATACCATGCTTTTTATAATACTAGTATTAGGTTCTAGCTGTTCATTGACATTTTTCTTGAGGTATGGTGAGATGACTCAGTGGGTAAAGGTATTGCCACAAAGCCTAATAGCCTGAGTTTGATCCCAGAAACACGAATGGTGGAAATAAAACCTGACTCCTGGAAGTTGTCCTTTGACTGCCACACATCCATATGGCATTCATACACACACACACACACACACACACACACACACATATGCACATGTGCACATACATGCATACATACACCAAATTAATAAATACAGTGCTTTTTTTAATTTTTTGTTTGTCACTATCTATAAAGATTTTACACACACACACCCCTTCTGAATCCTGGATTTTACTTATAGAAATGAACCCTGAAGATAAAATGAAGTAAAACAATAAAGGTTAATTCATAGCATTGTTTGAAATAACAAAGACCTGCAGCGGACATGGTAGTGTATGGCTTTAATACCAGCACTCAGGAGGCAGAGCCAGGTTGATCTCTGAATTTGAGGCCAGGCTGGTCTACAAAGTGAATTCCAGGACAGCCAGAACTACCCAGAGAAATCTGGTCTCAATAACAAAAACCTGAAGCTACCGGTGGTCATTTGAGTAAGAATGGCCCCCATACACTCATGTATTTGAAAGTTTAGTCATCAAGGAATGACACTACTTGAGAAGGATTAGAAATGTGGCCTTATTGGAGTAGTGTGTCTTGTTAGAGGAAGCGTGTCACTGGGTGTGGGCTTTAACATTTCTAACGATAGGCCCAGTGTCTTTATTCTTCCTGCTGCCTGTGGATCTAGATATTAAACTCAGTTAATGTCCCTGCATGTCACGTTGTTCCTCACTACGATAACAGTGGACTAAACCTCTGAAACTGTAAGCAAGCCCCAATTAAATGTTTTCTTTTGTAAGAGATGCTTGGTCACTGTGTCTTTTCACAGCAATAGAACACTAACTAAGATAGAAATTGGCACTAGGGAGCAGAGTACTGCTGTGACAGACCTGACTATGCCGCTTTTTGATGGAATGTGGACTTTGGGATTTTGGATTAGGAAAGCAGTTGAATGTTTTAAGTGGAACTTAATAAGCTGTGGTGGTTTGATTAGGTATGGCCTCCATAAACTCATGTATTTGAGTACTTGGCCCATAGGGAGTGGCACTGTAGGAGGCGTGGCCTTGTTGGAATAGATGTAATATTAGTTATTAGTGGAAGTGTGTCACTGTGGGGACAGGCTTTGAGATCTCCTATGCTTAAACTATGCCCAGTGTGGCTCACAGTCTCCTTCTGCTGCCTATGGATCAAGACGCTTGGCTCCTCCAGCACCACGTCTGCCTGCATCCCCTGCCATGCATGCTTCCCATCATGATGATAGCAGACTAAACCTCTGAAACTGTAAGCCAGCCTCAGTCAATTGTTTGTCTTTATAAGAGTTGCCTTGATGATGGTGTCTCCAGAGCAATGAAACCCTGAGACATAGGCCATGCAAGTAGGAACATGGATGACAGTACTGAGGGTGATTTGAATTGTGAGGGCCCAGCTCAAGAGGTTTCAGAGGGGAATACCTAGAGACCATTCTTGTGGTATTTTGACAAAAGATGTGGCTGCATTTTGTCCTTGCCCTCCCCCCCAAAAAAAATCTGCCTGAGGCTAAATGAAGAGTTTTGGATTGATGCCATTAGCAGAGGAGATTTCAAGATAGCCTAGTATTGACTGTGTCATATGGTTATTAGTTGTCATTCTTATATAGATTGAGCAAGTTGAGCAAGGAAAAATACAGATTGAGGAAAAAGCCACAGAATGTGGAATGTTGGAGTCCCGTCCAGTGCTCTGAGAGATAAAAGGTTTAAAGAAAAGCCTGTGGGATCCAGGACAGCCAGGGCTACACAGAGAAACCCTGTCTCGAAAAAAAAGAAAGAAAGGAAGGAAGGAAGGAAGGAAGAAAGGAAGGAAGGAAGGAAGGAAGGAAGGAAGGAAGGAAGGAAGGAAGGAAGGAAAGAAAAGCCTGATGTTAAATGGAGTAAGAGGAGTGGTAACCTCAGGACAAGACCCCACCCAGCTAAACTTCCAACTTGTGAAAAGGAATTAAAGAAAAATTTAAGCAAACAAAGAAAACCACCAAAACCAGAAAGCTGATGAAAATGTATTTGAATGAGGGGACCAAGTTCAGCCCAGCAAGCAGCAGAACTTGGCAGCTTTGGCCACATGGTTCTGGCTTTAGAGTCAAGAATACAAGAAAGGATTATGGAATCTTCCTATGCACAGTTAAGAAAAACTGCTGAGGCCGGGCATGTATCATGGGTGTCCCTGGAGAGGTGGCTTAGAAATCAAGAACACTGACTTCTCTTTCAGAAGACCTGGTTTCAACTTTCAGCACCCACATGTAACCCATAGCATTTGTAACTCCAGTTGTATTGAATATGATGCTCTCTCAGGCCTCCTCAAGCACCAGACACACAGGTGGGGTGCATAGACATGCAGACAAAACACTCTCACACACAGTTTCTTAATTTAAAAAAGTCTATTTCATTTAAAATCATGTGTGTGTTTGTGTGTCTGTGTGGGTGTGTGAATGTCAGTGCAGATGCTCATCGAGTCCAGAGGGGTACAGTTTCCTGGAGCTGCAATTACAGATGTTATGAGCCACTTGAGGTGAATGGTAGGACCCAAACTCGGATTCTCTGCAAGAATAGTACTGGTTCTTTTTTGGTTGATTGGTTGGTTGGTTGGTTGGTTGGTTGGTTTTGTTTATTCAAGACAGGGTTTCTTTGTGTAATAGTTGAGTCTAGGCTGTCCTTGATTCACTTTGGGACCAGGCTAAACTCAAACACAGAGATCTTCCTGCCTCTGCCTTCTAAGTGCTGGAATTAAAGGTATGCACCCCGACACCTGGATGAATAGTACTTGTTCTTAATAACAGTTTCTCTCTGCATCTTTTTTAATATTTTAATTTATTCTTTCATGATTTGATACATATATACAATGAATTTCTGTTCTTCCTTGATCCACCCCTTCTTCTGCATCTTAATTGTCTTCAACTTAAAATCCTTTAAAATTGATAGAGGCCTTTTCTTTCTCCTTTCAGCTTTAAAAATATTTTTGGGGAGCTTGTCAGGATAGCTCAGCAAGTAAAGGCATTTGTCATGTAAGCCTGACAGCCTGAGTTTGACCCCTGGAACCTTCCTCTGAGTGCTGCGATTAAAGGTGTGCACCACCATGCCTGGCTAAAAGTTTAGATTTTTTTTTAAATATACTTTTTGTGTACAAAATAAACCAATAGACAAATTCTAAATTGGTGCTTAAAATTTTCATGCATTTTTAATGATTTATTTTTAATAAAAATTTTTTAATTAATTTACTATTGTCTTAATATTGGTATAATTTCAAGTGCCCTACCAAATGGTGATAGGTTTCAAGGGATCCTTCATAGCTTTACTGTCGGGGGAATTCATTTTTATGTGTCCTCTTTTCTGACTGAATCATTTGCATTTGTCTCATAGCGGAGGTGAAGCGTGTAGGAGATACACTTTTGGGTATGGCCACACAGTGTGTGCAAGTCAAGAATGTAATAAAAACATCTCCTCAAACTCTTTCAAATTTGTGCCTAAAGATCAATGTTAAACTTGGAGGAATCAATAATATTCTTGTACCTCATCAAAGGTAAGCTTTTCTTTTTCATCCCATAAACTTGAGTAACTACTAAAAGATATTAAGAGACAACCTTAGTGATTCTTGCCTGTGAACTAATCTTAACAAGATTAAGAGGTTGTTGGCGCTGGACATAATGGTTAAATGCACGCCTTTAATCCTAGCACTTGAGGGGCAGACACAGGTAGATCTCTGTGCATTTGAGATTAGCCTGGTCTACATAGAGAGTTCTAGGACTATACAGAGAGACCCTGTCTTGTTAAACAGGAGATGAGATTTATAAATGAGGCAGAGAATTTAACCAATACATTCAAGAACTAAGAAACAACCAATATTTTTAAAAATATCTTAACCTTTATTTTATATGTGTCTCTGTGCACATGTGTGTGCAGCCCCTGTTGAGGCCAGAAGACATTGGATCCCAGGTATTAGAGAGCTGTGAGCCACTGTGTACGTGCTGAGTCCTTTGGGCAAACAACTGCTGAGACATCACTCAGCCCCAGCCCTTTGAATTCTAAAGGATGAAGCTTTAAAATTAAATTTTAAAAATGCTAGGACTTCATGATTATTAAATATATATTCAAATTTTATTCTTTGGGTCAGGGAATTGTGGACTCCTGTAATCCCTGCCTGAAAGTGGAAAATAAACTAAACTAAAAGTCAAAGGCTTGCTGAGTCTTTCTGTCCTTAAGTCCCATAGACTTAAAAATGTAAGTAGATTGTTTAAATTCATAAAAATTATTGGGATACTATGAAGAAACCTATTGGTTTTTCCCATTACAGAGAATAATAACATTAGTTTCTTTTGCAACCGTAATACCATTGTTTAAAACCTGATAAATCGCACTTGGGAGGCAGAGGCAGGCAGATTTCTGAGTTCGAGGCCAGCCTGGTCTACAGAGTGAGTTCCAGGGCTACACAGAGAAACCCTGTCTCGAAAAACCAAAAAAAAAAA